ATCAATCCATTATTTTTATGTTTCTAAAGGCAGTGATTATGGAAGAGAATGGTACATCTAAAAAGCCCATCTCTCCAAGATTCTAGGCACAACCACCTAAATCACTTATCCCATAAAGATTCTGAAATCTCCAGCCTCTCCAGCTTCTCCAGCTTCTCCCACTTTACTTAAAAATTTACTGCAATGTGAGATGTTAATAACGTGCACAATGTATAAGAAAACAGTTTTAGTTAGAAAAAAGTAGGAAATGAATCTGACATAATTAAAATTAAGTCTTGAAATCATTTACAACTTTTAATAATCTAGGATTTCCTGAAAATGTGCTATCACTGACACTGAAAGATCTATAGAATATAAAAAAAATCCAGAGCACCTCAGTCATTAAGCATCTGCCTTCGGCTCAGGTCATGATCCCAGGGTCCTAGGATGGAGCCTGGCATCAGGCTCCCTCCGAGGCGGGAAGCCTGCCTCTCCCTCTCGCACTCCCCCTGCTTGTGTTCCCTCTCTCACTAAGTCTCACTCTGTCAAATAAATAAATAAAAATTTTTTAAAAGTATAAAAAATCCAATAAAACCACATATCATGACGTATGTTAAGAATAAAATTGCTTTTGTGTTACAGTGCTATTTCTCAAAAACTCACTGGGTAAAAATATTACAAGATAGAATATACTAGTGACTAAATGGGTTTATTTAAATAAACTCTTGAAGTACTATAGCAAAATTGTTTCTAACAACTGTTTCTAAAAATTGTTTCGAACCTAACATTTAAAATGATATATACATTCTCCTTTATTTTTGGACTTTAAAGCAACCACCAGAAAAGTATTACTAAACATTCTTTCAATTAGATCAATACACTGTCATTTAATAAAATTTAAAAATTTCTTGTGACTAATAAAACAGATAATAAAAACTTAAAAACCTGCCTCAAAGTACAAATATGTTTGTTGAGATCTGATAAATAGCATAAATCCTCCTATAGCTCTGTTGTCATTACAATTTAGAAACTGGGAACACAAAAAAAAAGAGAAAATGTGAGCCCACTATAATTACTATTAAGTACCTTGTGAATTGCAACTTTGTTAAAGCAAAATGCCAATCATGGGCAGCCTCTCAATGTTCACCATGTAAGAAATCAAGTTGTAAGAAATAAACTAAGTTTGTAGTACTGCTGATTATCAGTAGACTCCCAAAGAGAAGACTCACTATATATACAAGAAACAGGAAATTCTTCTTGTATAAAATCAGAAGTTTACATTAATAACTCTTCCTTTCAACATCAGTAGTACCCTTTTTTAAAAAGGCAATGTTAATGGAAATACTAAGCACTTAAAATTAGTAGTTCTAAAATTATACCAAAAAATTTGCATTTGCCTAATACTATGACACTCTTAAGGCTAAAGTTTCCAACGTACTTTCATTTTTTAAACACACAAGTTAAAAAAAAACGGAAATGAAAGAAAAGGAAAGAAAATTTAAATCTTAAGGACCTTCAACTTACTACATTTCTTTTAATCAAATATTAACAGAACACCAAAGACGCGCCAGGCAGTACATTGGGAACTATAACAGATTGCAGTATCTACCAGAAACTAAATCCTATATTATTCAGTTTCTGAATTTATTATATGTTATTCAACCCAACACTTTCCTTTAAGAAGTTCTCACTCAACACCAAGGAAGATACACGGTTTTTCCTAACAAATTCACTTGTCACTGTTTTATACAGGTCCCAGGAGTTATAGCTAGCATCTGTGACTAACAAAAGGGATCTGTTTCTGAAACATCACTGACTACTTTTTTCATTTACATGAAGGTGAGACAACAATTCAGCAGATATAAACTGTTTCAGATACTTTATAGCATCCAAACTCAAGAAGAAAAAAAAAAAAAACTAAAAAAAAAAAAGGAAAAGAAAAACTAGACTAAACTTAAATTACTGCCTATAGCTGATATTTAAGTAGTCACAGCTTTTACTTTCTTTCATAAACAGAAGCATTACAAATTTTCATTTAGATGCAGTACTATAAAATCAAGTCCATCCTGAAGAGAGAAAACTTGTTTTCAAATAATTCAAAGAAACTATCAAAAGCAGATATTTACATTTTCAGATACTATTCTATGCATTCCTATACTTGTGAACACACCCTACCGTTTCAAGCACTTCCGAATTTGTCATGGACGAAAAATATCTCTAGTCTCTAAGTTCCACCAGTTGAATCTAAACAGGCCAGATATCTAAGGCTTTTTATTCCCCAGTGTATAAAAAATAACACCATTCTATTACATAGTCTCCAAAAAATAAAAACCTACACTTCCATTGCCATGATCTCTTCCACCAATTAAGTAAATTCTACTTTTTACGTATTATCCTCCATTCGGTTAACGTGTTTACATTTAAGAGGAATCTGGCCATGGGCTTTCCACATCAATCCACATTGGTTTTATCACAACATCTGACAATTTAGACTAAACGGACCAACCAAGAAAAAAAAAAAAAAGTAGGGTCCTAAATCCCAGGAAAAACTAATATCTCTGAGTTGTGTAAAGATCATAAAGATTCTCTTTAAAAATCTTTCAGTTCAGATTATTTTCCCAGCAAACAAACAGGTCTTCTGCTAGAAATTCCCAGCACTGTTCACGCAACAGACGGGATTTTCTTTCATCAGTGTAATCGCTAGAACCACAACACAGTTCAGTTTCCAGAGTCGGATTACTTGACCTGCTTTTTCTGTTTTACCTTTTAAAACAGTTTATTTCATGCAGTTACTCCTGCCTTACCCTGCAGAAAGAGACGTTCGATATGGGAGAGCCGTGCTCAGTGCGACCTCCTGTAAGTGGCCCCAACTCCACAGCAGAGCCACAGAGAGGCACGCCAGCGGACCCCACCGTCTCCAGGGCAAGGGGCTCGGGCACCAGGCCGCCCCGCACATCTTCCTCGATGAAACTCGGAGGCCCCACACACAAGCCCGATCACCCCCCCTTCCCCAATTCTAGAACCCCAGAGGTCGTTTCCTCTACGCAATCTTACCTTCATGATGATTCTGGGACCGCGATCCCCTCGAAAACACCAGATTCACCTGCACCTGGAGGGGAAACAAAAGACACCCAGTCGGCACCACACGCACCCTCTGCACCGGCGGAGGCGGAGGGAACCGAGCGCAGCCCGAACCCCGAAGAAAGCGCCGTGGCGGACGTCAGCCCCCGAACCGCGAACCGCAGACGAGGGGCTCCCCGTGGCCTCGCCAGCCCCGCAAACCCAGCCACCTCCACAGCTCGGCCGCTTCCCGTCCCCATTGTCGGGACCCGACGGAGTTTCCCGTCTCCGACAATGACGCCATTTCTGTCAGAGAAGAAACTCACAACAAGCCCGGGGGCCGGAGCGAGGCCGCCTGTCCTCCCCGAGGACCTCCGGGCCCGGCCGAGCGGGTCGGCGCCCCAGAGGGTCGCGCAGACCCGCTTCCGAGCCGGAGCAGGCCCGGGCCCGAGAGGCCCCGGGTGGGGGCGGCGGAGAGGCCAGGCGGACCGGAGGGCCGCGGGCAGGACCGACCCGCCGCTCAGCCGCTGCCCACGTCCCGCTCCGAGGCGGAGACCAGACAAGTGCGAGCGGGATCCCCGGCTCCCGGGCCGCGGGGGCCGCCAGAGGACCAGGGGGCCGGGAGCAGACACTGCCCCCCGCGCCGGCCCGGGCCCCCCACCGCGGCCCAGAGGCGCTAAACCGCTGAGTGTGCAGCCGCCAGGCTGGGGGGCGACTCCGACTCGGCAACTGCACGGGGGCGGGGGCTCCCGGAAGGCCGAGGCCCCGAATCCGGGCGCCCGGCGAGACCACCGAGCGATCGCCCCCTGCTCCTCGGCCGGGCCCGAGGACTCCCGAAAGGACCCCTCACGGGACCGCGAAAGCCTCAGAAAATGCCCCTACCTTCGGCGGAGGCGAGCTCTCACCCTGGCACGTCCAGAGTTCCCTCCCCTGCTCCCCCCCAAAACCAGCAGGCCCGGGGGAGAGATGGGGGAAGAAGGGCGGCGGGTCCAGCGGCTGCTGAGGCTGAAGCTCCGGCTCCTCCTCCTCCCGCGGCGGCGACTGGTACCTTTGTTTGGCGGCCGCTCGGGCTCCCTCGCTGGGGGGAGGGGGGGGGACGACGAAAAATCCCTCCCGGACTGGAGGTCCGGGCCCCGGATCGCGCTGCCCTCCAGAGGACGGCGGCGCCAGACCCTCTGCGGCTCCCTCCGGGCAAAGGTCCAGGCGGTGGCCGTGGCGGCGGCAAGCTTCAGCTCAAGAGACTCCCTCAGCTCCGGCGCCCAAGCTCCTCACTCCGGACTCGACTGACGGGCAAACATCGCTTCCCCCCCCCACCCCAAGAGCCCCCCTCCCTTCTTTCTCCCCTCCCCTAGATATTTTCCCCTCCCCTACCTCTTTCCCGGATGGCCCCTCAGACGACCTCGGATTGGTTAGCATTCTTTAGAACCCGCCCATCCCCTATTCTTATTGGTCCCCGGGATACAAACAACGACGCCATTTTCCCACCACTTCTATGGAAACAGAAAGTTACTCCTCAAAGCTTCCCGGGAAATGTAGTCCAACCTCTGGGGCCAATGCGAAAGCCTTTGCCCAGGAGAACTGCAAGACCCGCAATGCCCCGCGTCGGCGTGAGGCAAGTAGCGGGGGGGAGGGGAAGGGGCGGGGCGACAAAGCAGTAGGGAGGCGGCAACGACGCCTGCGCAGTGTGACCGGGATGGCGCATTTTCTTGCACCGAGTAATGCGGCGTCGCTGGCGGCTGAGGAGGGCGGAGAGTTCTGTGGTGAAGTAGGGGGAGGGATCCATGTAGGCGTCAGGCGGAGCGTTGTTCTGAACTATAAGCTGGGAAGTTGATGCTGGGCACTACTACTCGCGGACCGGCGGCGCGAAAGTTGTGATATCACCGTTGAACCGTGAGCGGCTGTGGTGGCGGCCGGGGGGGACCCGGATGGGAGTGAGGGCGGGGGAAGCGGGAAGGCGGGGTCGAGGGGAAAGAAAGAAAGGAGGGTGAGGACCCGGATGCTGAACCGGATTGTGTATGAATTTTCCATCCTCGCTGGAGAAGGGGAGGAGCGGTGGGTGACCCAGGAGGCCGGAAGGGGGCATCCGAGCCGAGAGGAAGCAGGAACCTCGCCGGCCCTGCGAGCTCCGACTAGCAGAGGAGCGCCGGGAAGCGCTTTGGCCAAGTCTCTGCTAAAAATCTGCCTCGAAGTTATTTAAATCCGCTGCCTGTAGCTCGGGCAGTTTTGTTCAGGTCACCTCCCGGGGTTTGAGTGGAAGGATCCGTTCTGCGTTTCCAGCTACACTGATACTCGTCTGGCACCACTTAGCAATTTTGAAATCAGATCATTTCCTTTAAAAAAAACAAAAAGCAACTTGCACGGTATTCTGACTTTTTATACTGCAAGTGTATGCCCTGATTTCATCCTCCAGCGCGTTAGAACCATGAGGTTCATTCAGTCCTTCCCATGCTTACCGGGCGCCTGCCGTCTGGAAAACGGTACGGACGAGAGTAAAGTGGACCCACAAGTGGGTGTGAAGTTGGTAGCAGTGGTGAGTGCTGCGAAGGAGAGTTACGTGATGATTTGAAATTGGGAATTCGACTTAAGCAGAGTGAGGATCGAGCTCAGAGTGGGTTAGCAGGAGTTAATAGGGAAAGAACTTTCCAGGCGGAAAAAAACATCTTGGGAGCCTTGTATCTAGAGAGAGATTTTAAAGTGTGAAGAACTAACATAGTAATAACAAAAATGATGATAATAAAATAAAGTGTGAAGAACTGAAGCTGGGGGTGGGGGAGGCAGGAGTAGCCTAGTCTTCCAGACAGTTTGTTAGGGAGTGTGTTCTTACCTAAGAGCAAAGGGATGTCTCGGAAGGGTTCTCAGTCGGTTGGGAAATAGGGCCAGATCTAAATTTTGCTGGCTGAAAAGTAGAGGTCTACATTAGAGGGGCAAATGCAGGGAGCCCAACCAGATTATGTCAGTAGTAGTCCATACAGGGGGGATAGTTATTTTTATGTTAATATTCATCCATCAATTGTATGAACAAATTAAAGGCAGTTTTCCAGTTTTGAAAGTGAGTAGTTTCAGACTCTCTCACAGAGGCATTCTGTAGTTACTCAATCTAAAAACAAGATAGTTGATTTCATGTAACACTAATGCTTCTTTATGTTGGAGTCTAGTACCTATCTGATGACTGAAATTTCCAGCCACAATGGGGGGGGGGGTGAGGAAGCAGGTAGGGTATAGGCCGCTGTATGTAGAAACCCTGAGACTTAAGACACAAAACAGATTACTTTTCAATATCTAGAAAAATTGAGGTTCCTGTGTTTTCCCACTACTGAGAATACTTGTGTATAAACATCCTGTAGGAAAGGAACATTAATTCACTTATTAAGAGTTTCTTAAGGTGGGCGCCTGGGTGGCTCAGTGGGTTAAATCCTCTGCCTTCTGCTTGGGTCATGATCTCAGGGTCCTGGGATCGAGTCCCGCATCGGTCTCTCTGCTCAGCAGGGAGCCTGCTTCCTCCTCTCTCTGCCTGCCTCTCTGCCTACTTGTGATTTGTCTCTGTCAAAGAAATAAATAAAATTTAAAAAATTTTAAAAAGTTTCTTAAGGTAATTTTTAAAAATTAGGGGCACCTGGGTGGCTCATTCGTTAAGTGTCTGCCTTCAGCTCAGGTCATGATCTCAGGGTCCTGGGATTGAGCCCTGCATTGAGCTCCCTGCTCAGTGGAAGCCTGCTTCTCCCTCTCCTACTCCCCCTGCTTGTGTTCCGTCTTCTGTCTCTCTCTGTCAAATGAATAAATAAAATCTTTTCTAAAAAGATAATTTTTAAAAATTTATAATTCATATTTTTTGTTTTTTAATGGCGTCAACCAAAGCTTTAAGAATTGGAACAAAGGTTAGTTAGCTCTGACTTCTGGGCAAGAGTATACCTGTCTCCAGATGAAGACAAAAGAGTTCTTGAAAGGTAGACTCATTATTTCAAGTTAAGTGTGTTCTGAAGGTTGTGAAAAAAGATGAACATGAGGGACGCCTGGGTGGCTCAGTTGGTTAAGCGGCTGCCTGCCTTCGGCTCAGGTCATGATCCCAGAGTCCTGGGATCGAGTCCCACATCGGACTCCTTGCTCAGCAGGGAGCCTGCTTCTCCCTCTGCCTCTGCCTGCCACTCTATCTGCCTGTGCTCACTCTCGTTCTCTTTCTCTGACAAATAAATAAATAAAATCTTTAAAAAAAAAAAAATGAACATGATTATTGCTCTCAACCTGTTATGGAAGAGATGGCTACCAACTGTTCGAAATGCAGAACTATATAAAAGATCCCTTTTTTTGTTCATCCTACCTTTAATTCTGTTTAATAATCTTTTATTTAAGTGATTATTCTTCCTGCTTGTCGTCTTTTCTCTTTCTGATCTCTTAAGAATGAGGTAATATGTCGGGACGCCTGGGTGGCTCAGTTGGTTAAGCATCTGCCTTCGGCTTGGGTCATGATCCTAGGGTCCTGGGATCAAGTCCCACATTGGGCTCTTTGCACAGCAGGGACCCTGCTTCTCCCTCTGCCTGCTGTTCCTCTGCGTGTGCTCTCTCTCTCTCTCTCTCTGTCTCTATGACAAATAGATAAAATCTAAGAAAAAGGGAAAAAAATGAGGCAACATGTCAAAGTTTAAACAGTATAGATAAGAGGTTACTAGTTTTTAGATAGTTTCAAAATATTTTCGTACTTTTTTTTCCCCTGTGACATACTGGGTATTAATTGTCAGTCAAGGAAGGTGTTAATCAGAGCAGTCAAGGCATTCCATTTCTACATGGAATGTTTCTCTTTGAGGTCATATTGCTAAGATGATTTCCTTTGCTGGAGTGCTCAGTTCTGAAGATTGTTTCTCCTTGTTACTCAGGAGATTACAGAAAACACACTTTTTGATCCTTTCAGTTCATGATCCTAAAGACCAAATCATTGTTATAGAAACAAAAGAAAATAGATAAAGGTGAGAAGCCACCTAAAATGTGCCAAGATGCCAGAGTAATTAGAAAAGTAGATTCCTAAGATAAGAACAAATAAAAATAGCAAAAGATACAAAGAAGCCAAGTAGGGGTTGGATTCAACAGTAAAAAAGTATAGGAGGAAGGCCACAAATGGTATTCTAGAAAACACTGAAGTAAGGTAAAACTTCCAATAATAAATCGCTACAAGGGAATTGTGTGTGTGTGTGTGTGTGTGTGTGTGTGTGTGTGTGTATACAAGGTAATATTTTTGATAATTGTATTCAAGTTAGTGTATGTCTTAAATTAGAATCTCTGAAATGGATTGATTGTAAAGAAAGTATAAGAAGTTTTCACCTTATATTTTAAGATATAAAATTTATTCATTCTAATGCTCATTGAAAAATGTTTACTAATTTATGTAATCAGTCAAATATAGAAGTATCTAATTCTGTGGATTTGTTTTGACATTGATTTGATGTCAACAATTTAAGCCCTTATGGTTGAGTAAAATAAGAATGGCTTAGTTTAGTATAAGTTTTATAACTGAGGAAATCACTTACAACCCAGGTGAATACTCTGACCAATGAAATCACTTGAAGATTTTCCTTTTTTTTTTTATGAGATAATTTACATGTGTGGTTCACCTATATAAAGTTAACATTTTAGTATATTCATAGGGTTGTGCAACCATCACCACAATCTAATTGTAGAGTATTTTAATTCCTACAGAAAGAAACTTCATACTCCCTCTTCTTGCTACCACAGTGCTAGGCAGTCATCAATCTGCTTTCTATGTTTGTGATTTGCCTTTTCTGAAGATGGGCTTCTTTTACTTACCATGTTTCAAGATTTCATATATGTAGAATTTTCTTATACAACATACTGAAAAAGTCTGCCTGTACAAAAACAACTTGAGATACAAATCCCTTTGCATTTGGAACTCAAAATTAATTCAGTTATTAAGATTATCTTTATATTTCTCCTTTTTCACAGATCAGCTTTGAAGTTTAAAAACAATGGAGAAGACTCAAGAAACAGTCCAAAGAATTCTTCTAGAACCCTATAAGTATTTACTTCAGTTACCAGGTAACTGTTTAGTTATGGTCCATAGATCCATATAGAGTCTTGTGATAGAGTTGTGGTCATTCAAATGCTAGCATACAGAAAAGGTTAGACTTACTAGCTCTTGAGATTTCCTATTTAATAAGGGATACATACAAGGAAAATTACAAATAGAACATTTTAGTTTTATGTTCTTAAAGGGGATATTTTGGGGATGCCTGGCTGGCTCAGTCGGTTAAGCATCTGCCTTTCACTTAGGGTTGAGTCCCAGATTGGGCAGTGAGGAGCCTGCTTCTCCTTCTGCCTGCCACTCCCTCTGCTCTCTCTCTGGCAAATAAATAAATAAAATCTTTAAAAAGGGGGGGGGGGTATTTTTGACGTACCCTTTTAAAAAATGTCCATTTATACAACATAACTAAAAAAAAATACTGAAAACATTTGAGTACGTCATTGGAGGTTTTGGAATGCCACACATTCCTATTCCCTACTATTTAGGTGTCAGGGGCTTTTATGCCAATTTATGTAACAACAAAAAGCTTTACTTTCCACGTTCATGTTTTCCACTGTCATCCACTCACTGCATTTCTTATGCTACTAGTTCCTTTAAGAGCCAAATAGTAATGCATCTCTAAGTCACATTACTTAGAAACAAGGCCCACATTATTCATATATGAAGATGGGTCACCTGAACATGGCTTCTTACAGTAACACCTGCCTAATCACATGTATATGTATGTTTTATTTTGCTATTTTTTTAACTTGGTCTGGAAAATGGTGATAGCAAGTTAAAACTCATATATAATAAGGGTGGGTTCCTGTAATAAAAATTCATTCACAGACCAGTTACTTGAAACTTGGAATGTACTTTCTTGTAGAAATTACCTAAAAGATGGTGAGTTAGTTGACAACCATAAGAACCTATTTAGCCCATAAGATAGCTAACCTATAGACCAGTGATGTTCTCAAATCAATCACAAGTGTTTGTTCATTTTTGTTCTAAAGTGCACACCTTTCTTTGTGGGCCCACCTCCATGGTTTTATGTGTGTTTCTATTCTTCATAGCCTGGAGAGGATAAATATGGTTATCAGAAGCTGAAGAGTGGTAGCTCCCCAGCTACATCTTGAAAGCCATCATGATTAGCGTCATTTCTATTCTGGTGGACCTACATGGAGACGTACCTGCTAATGTCAGTGTTTCAGAAAAATGGAGGGAACCAGGGCGTCTTTGGATCAGGTCATGATCCTGGGGTCGTGGGACCAAGCCCTGCATCAGGCTCCCTGCTTGGTGGGAAGCGTACTTCTCCCTCTCCCACTCCCCCTGCTTGTGTCCCCCACCCAAATAAAATCTTTAAAAAAAGTAATAACTCACTAAAGCTTATTAAATGAAATCTAATTGACAGCATAAAGATATTCCATAGTACTATAGAAGCAATGTAAACGGATCCTAAATTTGTTAGATATAAATTACCTTCCATTATGATGAGTCCAGAGACAAATAAAATCCTGCTTCTTAAAAGTTAAAATCCTAACATATTAAAGATGAAATCCTCAAGATCCAAAGGACAAAGAAGATATACACTTTTTTAAAAACTAGTCAGTCTGTTACTATTTTTTTAAGTTTTTATTTATTTGACAGAGAGAGAGCACAAGCAGTAGCAGTCAGAGGGAGAGAAGCAGGCTCCCCACTGAGCAAGGAGCCCAATGTAGGGCTCCATCCCAGGACCCCCGGACCGTGACCTGCACTGAGGGCAGATGCCCAACCGACTGAGCCACTCAAGACACCCAGGGTCTGTTACTATTTTTAAATTCATTAAAGGTAGTGCACCTCTTTATTGCCTACATCCAGGGCAGACAACGTTGACTGCCTTGCCCTTGTCATGGTGCTACTTTTTATTGATATATTGATATATAACTACGTACTACAATTATTGTAAGTACAGCTCAAAAAGTTGACTAGGGGGGCACCTGGGTGGCTCAGTCGGTTGAGCATCTACCTTCAGCCCAGGTCATGGTACCGGGTCCTGGGATCAAGCCCCATATTTGGGCTCTGCACTCAGGAGAGAGTGCGCATCTCTCTCTCCCTCTGCCCCTCACCCCCATTGCACACGTGCATACGCTGTCTCTCAAATAAATAAATCTTTTTTTAAAAAAAAGAGAAAAGAATAATGAAAAGTTGCCTGCTTTTTAAGAAAAAGCCAAGAGGCATCTGGTGGGCTTAGTCAGTTAAGCATCTTGACTCTTGATTTCAGCTCAGATTTCAGAATCTGATTTTGATTGATCTTTTTTTTTAAGATTTTATTTACTTGACAGAGACAGAGAGATCACAAGTAGTCAGAGACGCAGGCAGAGAGAGAGGAGGAAGCAGGCTCCCCGCTGAGCAGAGAGCCCGATGCGGGGCTCGATCCCAGGACCCTGAGATCATGACCTGAGCCGAAGGCAGAGGTTTTAACCCACTGAGGCACCCAGGTGCCCCCAGAATCTGATTTTGAGATCAGGTTCTCTCTCTCCCTCTGCCCCACCCACTTCCTCCAAAAAAAGAAAAATCAAGAGACCCCTTTTGAGTGATTTATTCAGCAGCTAGTAACTACACTTATTTCAGGGTCTCCTGCTGAGAAACGGGATGATGTTTCTCCTTGCACTTTACCCATTGTTGGACTTACTTTGTAACAAGTTTGCAGACACTGGCTAGAACTGGGCTATGGTAAAACATGCCAGTTATCAGTGCTGTAAAGCATCTAAGGAGTGTCTCCTATTCTGCTAAGCAAAACAAGGACCATCTGTAGCTAATTTTAGCAATAATGTTTACTTGTGTAATGAACTTCTGTAACATTTTTATTTAATCCTCATTATCCTATAGTATTTTAACATTTAAAACTCTCATTAGGTATCTCACTTTTTTACTATCTAATACAATCTTGCATCCATTTTAGAATATAACCTCAAAAGATTTTCCTAAGGAAACAGAAAATTATGAAGCACCTAGCTGAATCAATCAATGGAGCATGTGACTCTTGGGGTTGTAAATTCAAGCCCCCTGCTGGGTGTAGAGATTACTTAAAAAAATAAAAATCTTGGGGCACCTGGGTGGCTCAGTGGGTTAAAGCCTCTGCCTTCGGCTCAGGTTATGATCCCAGGTCCCTGGGATCGAGCCCCACATCGGGTTCTCTGCTTGGCAGGGAGCCTGCTTCCCCACTCTCTCTCTGCCTGCCTCTCTGCCTGCTTGTCATCTCTGTCTGTCAAATAAATAAATAAAATCTTAAAAAAAAATAAAAATAAAAATCTTTGTGGTTTTTATGACTGGGTGGCTCAGTCATTTAAGCATCTGCCTTTGGCTCAGCTCATGATCTCGGGGTCCTGGGATCAAGGCCCATGTCAGGCACCCTGCTCAGCAGGGAGTTTGCTTCTCCTTCTCCCTTAGCTCCTCCCCCCAACTCGCGCTCTCTCCCTCTGTATCTCAAATGAATAAATAGAATCTAAAAAATAAATTACAAAACAAAATTAAATAAAAATCTTTAAAAAGAAAGAGGGAGTAGGGGAATTAGGTGATGGAGGACACATGATATAATGAGCATTGGGTGTTATATGAAACTGATGAATCACTAAATTCTACCCCAGAAACTAATAATACAGTGTGTGTTAACTAAATTGAATTTAAGTTAAAAATTTTTCTTAAATGGGGAGGTGTCTGGGCTGCTCAGTTTGTTAAGCGTCCATCTCGTGATTTCAGCTCAGGTCATGATCTTAGGGTCACGAGATTGATCCTTCATCAGGCTCCACAAGGAGTCTGCTTGAGATTCTCTCCTCTTCCTGCCCCTCTGCTTGCACATGCAGTCTTCTCCCCCCCAATAAATAAATAAAATCTTTAAAAAAGAAATAGGAAATTGCATTATGCATAATAAACCTATTTTTCACAGAGAACTCAGAATTCCTAAAGTGACTTAAAGGTGGGCCAGGCCATTTATTCTGTCAAAAAGTTACTCTTGCTATTAAAAGATTATAATAATTAGCAATTATTAGTATTAGGATTTTCTGGAATTTGTGAAGTCAAATGACTTTTATTTATTTGCCCTAGGGTAGGTCCCCAGGCTGGGAGTTAGTAACATTAAAGTCTTTAAAAGAGGAGAGGTAATTAGGGGGTTCTTGGGTGGCTCAGTTGAGACTCTTGACTTGGGCTCAGGTCATGCTCTTGGCGTCATGGGCATCAAGCCCTAGCATCAGACTCCACATTCAGCACAGAGTTTGCTTGTCCTTTCCCTCCCTCTCTGCCCCTACCCCCACTCACACACTCTTCTCCTTCTAAAATAAATATTTTTAAGAAATAAATGAAGAAAGGGGGCACCTGGGTGGCTCAGTGGGTTAAACCTCTGCCTTAGGCTCAGGTCATGATCCCAGGGTCATGGAATTGAGCCCCGCATTGGGCTCTCTGCTCAGCCAGGAGCCTGCTACCCCCTCTCTCTCTGCCTGCCTCTCTGCCTACTTGTGATCTCTGTCTGTCAAATAAATAAATAAAATATTTTAAAAATAAAAAAAAAATAAATGAAAGGTAATTATCATGTGTTTCTTTTCATTTTGAGGGATCTCTGTGACTAGCACCTGTTAGAAATTATTTGGGGCCTTGAAACTATCAACCCAGACTATGGTTAAAGGAAAAAAATACTGAAACACAACTACATTACCTATAAGTTAAGCCATTTATGTGCTCTTTTCTATGTACATTCAAAAGCAAAAAGGAAAAATGTGGCTCCACATTGATTCTTTGTGTTCTTTATCTTCTAAACTTGTTTTTTAAAGTGATATGGTTACTTTGCACAGATGTACTTTGTCAGTATAGCTCAGATTGGCCTTTGTTAAACTGGAAAGTAGATCAAAGTACAAACTATATATCTGCTACCCAGACCATGCTCACCTTAAAGGTTAGTAGACAGAAAATACTGCTTCTTGAACCCTAAGAGATCCTTCTCTTTTAGACTTCTCACAAAAAGTGCAACTTTTTTTCATTTGGATATGGAATGAGAGTTTATTCATTTGCTTGGGTGGCTGGTGCAGAGAAAACATAGATAGGTCTTAGAAAATACTGTTTTTGTTCACTGAAACTTATGTAACTTTTTCTGAAACCGTCTGAAATTAGGATGTTACTGTGCATTCACTCTAGCAGGAAACTTGTAGAACGCTATTAAAAGAACTGGTTGGGAGTTTTTATCTACCATTCCTTTATATTTGGGCAAAAATGACTTCTATTGATAACTACTACCCAAAAACCTCTTGAGCTTTCCATGTAAGAAAATGATAATATTGAAAAACTAATGGCCCTAGTCAAAATAAAAAGATTAACTTTTGACTAAACTGGAATGCTGAAAGGGAATACTTCAGGGAATGGTCATCTCATTTTTTTATAGGAAAGAAGCAGAGTTGTACAGTCTCTAAAACCTTAATTTAAAGAAATGGTAGATAATTTTAAGAGGTAATTTTATGATATTTTATTGAATTCAATAGCAAAGTACAATTCATTAGAAATACCTACAGTTCTCTGAAAACAGACATTGCTGATTAACTGCCACTGACTAGACTGACTTATTTTTCAGAAAAGGAATGAATTAGATCATAGTTCCTAAAATGCCCACATTTCATTCCAAAATTGTTGATAAAAGTTAAGATGAAAGGAGTGGGCTTACTAGTGGGCCATTTGCATACTTTAGAATCTCCTTGCATGCCCTGATTTCAAGACTGTGAGCTTTCAGAATGCGAATTTTGGTAGAGGGGGCGGTGGGGGCGGGGGGCCAGCAGTGATGGGGCTGGATTCAAGTCTGAACAGTTTCCAAGGAAGTTTCTGAATTTTTTTTAATAACTGAAATATTAATTTTATTGCCAAATTTTATTCTTTAATTTCAGGTAAACAAGTGAGAACCAAACTTTCACAGGCATTTAATCATTGGCTAAAAGTTCCAGAAGACAAACTACAGGTATTTAGGCAATTCTAACCTCATTCTTAATCCCTAACAAATTAATAGATGTGACATAAAATACTCTTTGCTCTTAATTGAGTTTAATGTGGATACGTGTATTGTTTTATATTGAGGTTGCTAAATAATTATTCATTGCAAAACTAAGAAATCTGAGACTCTCATAATCTGTTAAGTATTTATAAGCTGTTTTGAATAGGTCAAATAAAATGAAATTGTCACTTGTCTTTTTTGTTAGATTATCATTGAAGTGACAGAAATGTTGCATAATGCCAGTTTGCTCATCGATGATATCGAAGACAACTCGAAACTCCGACGTGGCTTTCCAGTGGCACACAGCATCTATGGAATTCCATCTGTCATCAATTCTGCCAATTATGTGTATTTCCTTGGCCTCGAGAAAGTCTTAACCCTTAATCACCCAGATGCAGTGAAGCTTTTTACCCACCAGCTTTTGGAACTCCATCAGGGACAAGGTCTAGATATTTATTGGAGGGATAATTACACTTGTCCCACTGAAGAAGAATATAAAGCAATGGTGCTGCAGAAGACAGGTGGACTCTTCGGATTAGCAGTAGGTCTCATGCAGTTGTTCTCTGACTACAAAGAAGATCTAAAGCCACTGCTTAATACACTGGGGCTCTTTTTCCAAATTAGGGATGATTATGCTAATTTACACTCCAAAGAATATAGTGAAAACAAAAGCTTTTGTGAAGATCTAACAGAGGGAAAGTTCTCCTTCCCTACTATTCATGCTATTTGGTCGAGGCCTGAAAGCACGCAGGTGCAGAATATCTTGCGTCAGAGAACCGAGAATGTAGATATTAAAAAATACTGTGTACATTATCTCGAGGATGTAGGTTCTTTTGAATACACTCGGAGTACTCTTAAAGAGCTTGAATCTAAAGCCTATAAACAAATCGATGCACGTGGTGGGAACCCTGAGCTCGTAGCCCTAATTAAGCACTTAAGCAAAATGTTCAAAGAAGAGAATGAATAATATTAAGCCATTTCCAGTTAGACCTGGTAGCTTATTGCAGTTGACTATTTTTTTGTCTTTTAGCCTATCACTTTTTTAAAAATTTGGACCAAGCTGTCAATCTCCACAAACCGAGTGAATAGGAGTGATGTGAATGAGGTGGTTTCGATTTAGAACCCCTTTGTACAGATAATCATCATAGTACAAAGTTGAAAGAATCAGAACGAGCCACATTTAAGTAGGTCTGATTTGAATGTCAGAATGTGCTATGTCTGGACCTTATGGACAACTGCCACAAATGTTCTGTTGATTCTGTCAGTAAAGAAGACTTCAGGTTCCAGGAATTTTTATCCAGATACTTCCTAACTGTGCTATATGGGCAATTTCCCATTCGTCTACCCCAGTTTCAAGTCAGTGACTCCTTGGGACCAGTTTCTGTAGCGAGCTAGCCCAGAGACCACTGGACCTCCTCTTTCTTCCTAAATGTTGTTACTTACAATATCTCGGTCTCTTCTTGGAAACTCCCTCACTAAAATCTTCCGTGAAAAAGCTAACTGTGATAAGCAGTAAGTGTACTAGTCTTTTTTCTTACCCTCTTACTTTTTATTCTTCCTCCCTGCCCAGCAAATTCTGCTTTTTAACCAGGGAGACTCCACTTAATGGAATTTATATGCTAGTCCAAATTCATTCATTTTTTTCCTTATAATTTGTGACTCCAAAACAGATTGATACATGGATACAGCAATGTCTTTCCATTTGAGAAGAAACAAAAGGTACATGGAAAGAGTATTTTAGGGAAGAGCCTTTATTTAAGCCTTTTTGTAGTTTCCTACTGGTTAGTAAGTAAAAATCGTAAAAGAGCTGTTTGCTCACCTTAAGTACAAAAGCGGGGGGAAACGCCCTTTTCTTTGCCACTGAGGTCACTACTCCCCCTTAAAGGCAATTGGTGCTTGAATAAAAAGGGAAATAGGTATCTTTAATCTCTGATTAAAGGAATGAGAAGTGTTAACCTGAGAGTTAGTGCCTGGCTGAAAAGTAGTCAAAGGCTCTGCTGTCAGGTACTCAATTAGCTTTATAGTGCTTTAACCCTGACTCTCTATCCCTTTTGTGTACTTTCTACCCTGAACACCCTGGAGCCACCTGGCAACAAGAGGTAGGAGAAAAGAAAAGAAAAACCCTGATTCCTTAGTTTACAAGTGTTGCTGACCTCCCCAAATGAAACTGTTTTCCAGAAACATTGCATTTTGCTTGTTTGGTTCCATTATAATATATTTTGGCAGATTTAATCACTATGAACTTGCATGAAAAAATCTCACTGAAGCCTTCAACCCAATCTTTGAAGAGTTGGGTAGTACCTTCACTAGTTTTTAAAATTTGAATCTTCCATTTTAATTGAAAATCATGGGTATTTATGCTGCATTATGGAAATTTGAACTGTGTTTATGAATCCATTACTTAAAAACTTAAAGATTAGTCAAAAAGATCTAATGCTAACTATATAAACAAAATATTTACCTTTAAGATGAAGGCTGCTTAAGTTGATTATTCCTTACCTAATCAAATTAATTTTGGCCTGGTGCTATTCATGATTCCTTTGTCATTTGTATCTGGTCTTTGTCAAGACAGAAATGCTTGACCTTGAATTGGAGACTTACAGAAAGAGTCATTTTATCCATTAAGTAATCAAAAGTCTATTCTTTTCACCTTGAACTATAATCACAGTTGTCAATACAGAAGAACAATGTAAGAGTACTTTAAATCTAGTAAAAATATATTAATTTATCTACTTAGGTTTAAACTACAGTTTTGTTTTGTTTTTTTCTGCTTAAAGGAATGTCTTGGAACCAAAGTAAACCGGATTTTGGATGTAGAAGACCTGTAATTTTGAAATATTTTCCTATTTTCTAGTCTATAGAGGTTCAAAAAATAAATTGATTTTTTTCCTTGCCAAAGCCAAAAGAATGAAGGCTAAATTATGTTGTCATAAATAATTTTCAGCGAGATTTTAAATCCATTAGCTCTTCTCTATTCTACTGTATTCCACTCTGTTAACTTCCAACTTGACTTCCTTCCCTTCTTGACCTATGCCCTACAGTCATTCACTTCTGGCAGCCGTTTAGGGGCTTTCTCGGATCACTTTCCTCCTTTCCTTAGGTCCTCATCCTGCCAGTTCCCGCATCCAACCACCCCCATCTTTGTTCCTCCCAACTTGCTCAGTGCTGCTGGGGAGTGTTTCCACAACTGCTCTTACCACCATTGCAGGTTAACATGTTAAGGCCTCAGTAAGACCTTTTATTTACCTAACCCTGATGGGAGTTTTCACATTTGTCGATCTAATGTCTACTGCTTCTTTTCCACTCTTTTTCCAGTTAATGGAAACTGCAAACTTTCCTCCTCTCTACTTCTTAAGTCTGTCGGCCTTTCAACTCGAGAAAAGTTGTTTGTCCTCATGCTATAAGCCCAAGGAACCCCTCCCATTCTTGTTTCCCTCCCTTTCTGCCTCTTGAGGGCCTATTAAGTCCTCTGCATTATATCCTCAAGATTTATCTGTTGGCTCTCTTTTTAATCAGTGTATTCAGAGGAAGGAGAAGGGGAAGGAAATGTACGTAGATGAAGTACCTATTGGGTACCAGATGATTTGTTCAAGCATTTGTTGAGCAGAGCCAGGACCTTGAATACAGGTCAAAGCACGTCATCCTATACAGCCAGCCTCCCATTCTATGTGCATACTTAAATATGTTTAAAAGTTTTGAAAGCACTGTCTATTATAGTAACATACACTCCAACCAAGGTGTTCTTTCCAAAGCATAAATCTGATTGTCATTCCCATGTCTTACATTCTCTTTGGTTTGTTTGGGTTTGGGGTTTTTTTTTTGTTTTTTTTTTTTTTTCCTTTTAGGGAGAGAGAGCACATGAGTGGGGAGGAACAGAGGGGGAGTGAGGGGAAGAAGGAATCTGAAGCAGATTCCACGGTGTCCTCTGACAGCCCAACGCGGAGCTGATTCCACTCCCTGTGAGGTCATGACCTAAGCTGGAACCAAGAGCTGGATAACCAACCGAGCCACCCAGGCATCCCTCTGACATTCTCTTTGAATCCTCAGTATGCCACCTATAAATCCCTTGGCATAACATGTAAGACTTCCTAAGATCTGATCTCCAACCCACTCTTCACTAACCATATTTCCTAACACTTCACTCTCCCCATACAGCTCATGTTCTGCCATGAAGTAGTACTCATCATTGCCGAGACTTACCTATTTTCATTTAATTCATTTAGAATATTTCCTGAGTGCCTATGTGCTAGATCTACGCTAGGCTTTGGAGATGTAAGAGTGATAAAGACACTATTCCTTAACTTCATGATTTTTCTGCGATGGAGACTAGTAAATAAATAGCCAGTTACTAAACAGCATTGTTAGTGCTGGGCCCCTAATTACTTGTTTACTTGTCTCCTATTACACTGGAAACTCATTAAGGGCAAAGTCTGTGACTTACTCACCCTTGTATTCCCAGAAGCACTTAATAAATATTTATAATGAGTAAATTTACTTGAAACTAATCTCTCACCTCTCAAGGGTTTCATTTAAAAAAGTGTGTAAAAAGATAGTATAAACTTCAAATGTTAGGTCTTAAGTTAATGTGGTTCTACCTCTCAAATGATTCTTACTCAGTGCTCTGTTCCCTTCTGAAAGGATTCTTAGACTCCTTACTGTTTTGTCCATGAGAACCATTTTATCCAAAGCCTGAGCTCAAATTCAAGTTCTGTAACTGCCTAGTCTGAGCTTTCCATCATCACCTTGAAATAACATAATTAAAACCAACCTATACTTCCCTTCGATCCCTCTACCAATCCAAACAATGGAATGAAACCACTTCTACCTCTGCCTTGTCTGTCACCATCTTCATGCTTCAAGTGATCCAGGAGTGTCATTTATTTACCCTCATCTCCTCCATCTATCCAGTCCTCCCCAGTCCTACAGCTTCGTCCTTTTTCCCCCCTAAGATTTTATTTACTTGTCAGGGAGAGCATAAGCAGGCACAGAGAGAAGCAGGCTCCCCACTGAGCACAGAGCCCAGTCGGTGCTCAATCCCAGGACCCTGGGATCATGACCTGAGCCAAAGTCAGACGTTTAACTGACTGAAGCACTCAGGCATCGAGATCATCCTTTAAAAAAAAAAAAAAAAAAAAAAAAAAAAAAAGATTTTATTTATTTGAGATAGAGCAAGAGGGAGAGAGAGAGAAAGCCTAAGCAGCGGGAGAGAGAAAGGGAAAAGCAGTCTCCACTGAGCAGGGAGCCGACATGGGGCTCAATCCCAGGACTCGGGGATCGTGACCTGAGCTGAAAGCAGATGTTCAACCAACTGAGCCACCTAGGTGCCCTGATTTGTCCTTTGAGATCTCTGTTATCGAACCCTTACTTTGCATTTTCCTTGTCATTAGAACAGGCTTTGTTGCCATACATACAAATTCGATACTTAGTGGTTACAGTACAGAAAAAGACTGATAATGGATTCCACAATCATGTGAATTCAGATAAACCACAATTGACGTTCCTCTCTTCAAACTGCCGTCACTTCCAGCGGGCTACTACAGACTTTCTCTGGTTATTTCACTAATACTATATTAACGCAACCTCACATTTTATGTGATTAAATATACTGGACCTTAACAGGTGGTATGGTTTATTTTTACTATATACTAGCTAGTAAAATATATAGTAGTGCATTAAACAATAATGTTGGTAATGTAAGTTTCAGTGTTAACCCATGAGTTCAAGTTAATTGTGTAGGATGCTTTATAACCATTGTTTAATGGGCATCTTTTCACAGAGATATTTGGAAAACACAGCGCTAGCTGCTATATTATGAGAATTCTTTTTTTTTTTTAAGATTTTATTTATTAGACAGGGAGTGAGCATGACCAGGGGGAGGGGCAGAAGTAGAGGGAGAAGCAGGCTCCCCAGTGAGCAAGGAGCCTGATGCAGGATTCAATCTCAGGGCCCTGGGATCATGACCTGAGCTGAAGGCAGATGCCTAAGCAAGTGAGCCACACAAGTGTCCTTTTTTTTTTTTAAGGTTGTATTTTATTTATGTATTTGGGAGAAGAGAGGGAGAATCCCAAGCAGACTCCATGCTGAACACAAAGCCCAACAAGAGACTCGATCCCACAACTCTGAGATCATGACCTGAACCCAAACCAAGAGTCAGATGCTCAACTGACTGAGCCACCCATGTACCCCATGTGCATTCTCCGTAAAGCACTGTATGCTTTAGGAGAATGACCAAGTGATTATCCTTGAATTATATTTGTTGCTGTACATAAAGAAAACTAGATCTGAGGATCTGAGGATTGGTTTAATGAACAATAGAAGATGTTTAATGGTAAGCTTGTAGGATGCTTTATAACCATTGATTAATGGGCATCTTTTCACAGAGATGTGTCTACCTTCCTCCTCAGAGACATTTCTGACAGGATCTCCACTGGCCTTGCCCAGCACTTAGCCAGGAAGACCAACGAACAGGTGTTTGTCAGCTGTAACCTTCAAAGCACGGACAGTAACTTCCATTACTTGTGAAAAGAGGATGAAGGAAATGGAGGCTGTTTCGGAAAAGTTCTAGCAGAGTGGGAGAAGTAAAGATTTGTAAGTCATGTACAATCTATATTTAAATATATGGATTGAATTTCAAAACAACAAAAACAAAGGCCTTCCCTTGAGTAGCTTATGCCTTGTCTTACATACCTACATAAGAGTATAACAAAAGAACTAGGTCAACAGTAGAGGGGGACGCCTAGATGGCTCAGTCCAGTTAAGTGTCTGTCTTTGGTTCAGGTCATAATCACAACTTCATTTCTTTTTAAGTCTGAATTATAGCATTGCATGGGTAGACCACATTTTATTTATCCATTTTTGAGTTGACGGGCATTTGGGTTGTTCCTACTTTTTGGCTATTATGAATAATGTCAACATTTGCATAGAAGTTTTTGTGTACATGTATTTTTTCATTTCTTTTAGGTAATATTATGGGCTGGTGGTCATGTTGTAGACATAATTATGTTTAAATGAGGTCATAAGAGAAGGGACCTGATCCAACAGGATTAGTGTCCTTATAAAAAGAGACAAGAGAAAGCTATTTTCTCTCTCTCTGTCATGTGAGGACACAGTGAGAAGAGAGCCATCTGCAAGCCAGGAAAGAAGTGCTCACCAGGAATCAAATTGGCTGGCACCTTAACCTTGGACTTGAGCCTCCAGTACTGGGAGAAAATAAACTTCTGTTGTTTAAGTCACTCAGTTTGTGGTATTTTTTTATAGCAGCTCAAGCCAACAGTGACAGGTAAATCCTAGAAGTGGAGTGGCTGAGTCACATGGTGATCTTGTTTTACCTTTTGAGTAGGCAATATATACTTAAGATATACCCCTTTAGGTGTACAAAATGTATGTAAAAATATATTTATTTATTTATTACAGCAGTAATGTATGATAGAAAAAAGTAACAAATGTCCACCAGTATAAATTGATTAAATCACAGTCTGTGATTGAGTGCAGCAAAACTGTCTATATACTGGGCACCTGAGTGGCTCAGTCAGTTAAGTGTCTGCCTTCAGGTCAGGCCATGATCTCAGGGTCCTGGGATTGAGCCCTGCATTGGGCTCCCAGCTCAGTGGGGAGTCTGCTTCTCCCTCTTCCTTTGCCCCTCCCCCTCTGCTTGTGGTCTGTATCCCACTTTCTCTCAAATAAATAAAATCTTAAAATTCCTGGAATACGGAAAGCAGATGACTGATTGATGAAAGCAGTGTGGATAAAGCCATAGCTGAAAATACATAGGGAAGGGGTTGGAGCTGACATAGGATCCAAAAGCTCAGTAGAACCAGATGTATAGGCAGAATAATGCCCTCACCAAGGATATCCATGTCCTCATCCCCAGAACGGTAATTTTGGTACATTCTATGGCAAAGGGGAATTAAAGTTGCAGATGAAATTAAGGTTGCTAATCAGATGACCTTAAAATACGGAGATTATCCTAAATGGCCCAGGTGGACCAAAGTAATACAAGGATTTTTCCAAGTGGAAGAGGGAGGGAGGCAGGGAGAGTCAGAGAAGATGTGAGAATGGAAACAAGGTCAGAGTAGTGTGATACGGAAAGGAGTCAACACACCATTTCTGACCGTGAAGATGGAGGAAGGGGACGATGAGTCATGGAATACAAGTGGCTTCTGGAAACCAGAAAATGCAAGGAACAGATTATTGCCTGAAGCCTCCGATAGGAACACAGCCCCACTGACACCTTGGTTTTGGTCCAGGGAGAGGTGTTGGACTTCTACAGAACTGAAATGTAATTAATTTATGTTGTTGTAAGCCACTTCGATTGTGGTGATCTGTTAGAGCACCAATGGGAACTGAGTCAGTGCTATGCTTGTCAACACAGAAGTTTGAAGGGACAAACAAATGTGGATGAAAACATTAATTGATGGTCTATAAAGAAAAGGATATACTCCTCCTACTACCTCTTTCTTGTACCCCAGTGGAGAAGCTAAATCATCATTGCCAGGCATATATCGCTAAGCAAAAAAAGTGAGACATCTTCTCTAGAGAGCTGGAAGTCAGTTTCTGGAGAGAATCTGGGCAACTGGTAGAGGTGTTGGTGTCAAACAGCCACACTCTTCTATTTGGCATTTGGGAGCCTTCCTGGAGCATGATGGCTGTTCCCTTCCCTTTCACATGACAATGAGACTTACCATCAAGCAGCCTTCTCAGAAACTCCCACATTTATAGAGCACCTGCAATATAACAGAGAAAGACCAGGGTTAAAA